TGACTATTTGATTGAACTTTGAAATGCCCTTATTGTAGAACTGTCTTAGCTAATTAACTTATTTATCTTATATTTTATTTCTGTTAACTCCTTAGTAGGAAAAAAAAAAGACAGGGGGCATAAAAAATAACACTAGAACCTTTGGTCTATGTAACATCAGCAGATTCTTGGGGTTTTTTTAATGTTTTCTTCACAGCCCAGTTCGGGTTTGTCTTTTTTATATAGAAGTTTGCATTGATGTGTTCCCTTCTGGTTTGTACAGCTTGTTACTTTTCCACTTCAGGTCTTCAGGCAGTCCTGGGAATGTAAATACTGGAAGAATCATACAGGTCATTTTGTGAGTGGTTAAGCTGGGCATACAACTTGTGATGGGTGTGCAATGTGTGCTGCAGATTTTCTAGGTTGTGGTTTCACCAAATTACTTCAGGAAGCATTATAGGGTCCCCAGTTCTAACTTTTAGGACCTGAGGAGTCACTGTGTTTCCAGTCACTGCATCATTTCAAGAGTGTACTTAAGATGTTTGTCGTAGTGGGTGATCAATGGCACTTGCCTTGAGATACAGAAGACATGGTTCCAAGTCTCAGATACTGAGTGCTGGGTTTTTTTGCTTTGGTGCTTCAGCTCTGGCACTCCAGCAGCACCAAATGTTCTAGTAAAATTATAGGCTGTGCTGCCATTTGTCTTGAGTCCACAGAAATAGAGAAATGCTTAGTTTTTGCTTCTCTATATAAAAAGTGAGTGAAACTTGCAACATTTCTTGTTATAGTTCCAATATTGATATTTTTGTTTTCTGTTTGCCCAGGCTGTAAGTCATTCTGAAATTCCATCAAAGCTTTTGAAAGCCAGTACAACTGATGAACTAAGGGGTTTTGATGCAAGTTACTGATGTTCATATATATATATATATGTATAAACACGTTAAAAAAAAACACAGAAAAAAAACAACAAGAAGAACCAACAACAAAAGAAAGTGGATTGCTGATGAGTTGCTCTGGTGATAAATTGAAGAGTGATGATTTAATATTGTAGGTAATTCTTATCTTACCCAATAGGAGACTGGGCTGCAAAATAGGATTGTTATTTCTGTGTGAATGTACGTCTGCTCCAGTCTGCAAATGGAGGTGCAGTAACTGACTGTGTGTCAGCTGAGTTACAGTAACTGCTCGTTCTGCTGCTCATGCAGGATGACCTGAAGTCTCCAGTGGACAGCTGTGATGGATGAGGTGGCACCTGTCCCCCTCTGAAAAAGCCTGGAAGCACTGAAAGGGCAGTGGGTGGCATGGTGGTTACCCTGGTGCATCTTTTAGCTAAAAGGATACTTGAAGGAGTGTTGATTCTTCCTGGAGATCGTCAAACATGCCAGAGACCTGCTTTGTGAACTCCTGCTTAGTGGTGCTGGTAGGAAGAGGCAGGTGATGGTCCAGAGTTAATGAGCCTGGCACCAGAGGGCATGGACTGTCCCTGTTCCCAGGGGTCTCTGTGGCTGCCTCTGCTGCTGGGGGGCTTGGGAGTCTCAACCCCTTCTCAGTCTTGGCTTTCAAACAGCATCCTACTTTGGGGTGCAGTGTTCCAGACACAGCTTTATCAATCCACACCCAGAGCACTGGTGCTTGCCTGTCTCAGCTGGAAATGTCTGTTGAGTCATTGGACTGTTGGTCTTGGTGATAGAACTCCTTGGTTTGGTGAGTGGGACATAAGATGGCTGTGGTACTTTGTGCAGTGTCCAGCAGAGTGGGCACAGGGGTTAGGTGTGTTAATGAAGTCAAGAAGATACCTAATAGAAAAGCTGAAGACTGAAAATTACCTCATTTAGTGAAAATATTTGTTAAAACTTCTGCTAACCTGTATCAACAAGAAAAGTAAAAATACAAATCTCATTACGCGGATTCTGGTGGTTGCTACCTGCTTGTAATGTATGTTACAAGTTTATGGAGTTTAATGTATCCAGTTTTATTCGAAAAAAACCCTATACAAAGAATTTAGAGTTATACAAACCTTTAAGGCCTCATACTGCATGTATTTGTAAATGTATTCTTGATGTAGATGTTTAAAATGGGAGATAAAGAACAAGTAAAACATCCCGTTCAGCTATACCAGGCATGTAGGTTTTGGCTGGCAGATCTTCCTGAGCACAAGCACAAGGCCCTGAGATGAACCACTTGGTGCTGGGTGCCTGACAGAACAGATGTATTTCAATAATGAAAGCCTAGCTAAGCACTAAACTAAAATACTAAATAAATATGTGTGAAGTACATACATTTTCAACAGAATTATGTATTTGGCTTTTTGCAGCTTTTCACCATTTTAGAAATATTTTATAAATGCTACTTAATATTTTCAGCTGTTGCTTTTTTATGACAACAGCAGTATATTCAAGCAGTTAAGATAGGCAATGAAAATCACAACTTTTCTCTCAGAAGGTGCTGTTAATTGAGAAATATATTTCATCTTACAGAATACAAGCTGAGGTAATAGGCTGAAACTTTTTCATGTCATACAATACCTGCAAAAGATGTATCTAGCACCAGGAATTTAAGGTAACTCTTCCACCTAGAAACTGAAGATCATAGTTGTGTCTGTATAATTTTTGACAACCAGCTTACTGCTTAAGACATCCTAGCAAAAATTAGAGTTCTGTGCTTTTCCTAAATTTCAGTATGGTTCTGTAGCCCTGCTGTCCCACACAGAGGTGGTCAGAGACCTGCCTGGGCAGTGTGGCCAAGTCCTACAGCTGTCATCAGCATTGGACTGAGGCCAATGTTCACCTTTTCCAACTTGGAAATCCAATGCTGGGAAGTGTTGTCTGAGAGCTACTGCTTGAAGAGTGTGAAATGGTACTAGTGATACTTGGCATGTTTTCTCTCTGAATGACCTCATACAAAACCTTTCCCATTTATCAGATTATTGTATTTTCCCAGATTGGCAGCTGGCTCAATTTTGTGCCGTCAGCTTTGAACTAAACTGTGATATGGCAAAGAAAAGGTGTGAAATTAAGAAAGGGACAAAACCCAATGAAACAACAAACCCAAACTAACAGAAAACTCAAAATATTTTGGAAATACAACTGAGGAAAAAAAATGCGAAGGATCAAGCTAAAAAAAATGTAAAGGATCAAAAAAAAAAAGTGAATGGATTGATTTCAGCAAAATTTGTATGGATGCTCCATCTTCAGTTACCAAATATTTGTGTTACTGGCTAAAAAAATTAGTGTCTCAGTGTATGTACTTTCAGTGCATTTAGTGAAGAGCAATGTTTTTATTTCACTTGCTCTTTGTGCTCTTGCAAACAGATTGAGAAGGGCAGAGAAAACTCTTTTCACGTACATGACCATATGTCTGATATTTTACCTCTGCTTTCCTTCCATAGCATTCAAAAATAGCTGCTATACTGTAATAGTATTTATCTCTAACTTCTTTCATTGAAAACTATATACATCATACCCAGCTGTTCTGAAACAAAATGATAGTTCCTGCATGTCTACCCTACTAACATAATTATTTTTCTAGGATAATAGTGGACTAAAATTAGGTGGTTTTAGAAGTGCAATGCACCACTTATGGGCTCTCTTCAGGTATATGGTGTTTAGTACCAGGAAGAGACAGCATAATGACTGGTTAATGGCAGCAGCTTCTCAGTGGTAGTAATTATTTCACCCAACTTCCACTGTTTAAAAAAACCAGTGGAATAAAATGCATTAGACTTACTAAGCTGAAAGATTTGGTAACTTTTGATTTGTAAGGTGACAAAATTGGATGATGAATTCAGTAGGTGGTGGGTGCTGGACTTTTGGAAACATAATTTAATAAGAATGGAGTTAAATTCTTAACCAGTTTAATTGTTCATGAAGTAGCTTTCTACTTAGGACCCACAGTGAGAACAACCTTTATCCTTCATGAGTCCTGTACAGGTGAAGAAAGTTCAGTTAGCCAGATGTGTTGGGTAGAGATGTGTTTGGGGGTTTTGTAATCTTGGGTATGTCAAACCAAAATATTTCTGTGTGCTTAGCACAGAATGATGTCGCCTCATTATAGGGACCTGAGTTTCCAGAAAGTCTGAGGAAAAAAGTAAAAGGTGAAGCGTGTAATTGCAAAAGTAATTTAATATACAAAGTTTGATAGCTCATATGTAGAGTGAGGAAACACTCTACACATTTTTATGGAAAAACATATCTAATTCTATTAACGCATAGATGAATTTTGCACTTGTCTGCAAAGGTAGTTGTGTGTTGGTACATGAAATAACACTGCTTTTTAGGAGAAACAAAGTGGTTAATATATATTTTTGATATAATTACTGGAAAAATCGAAGAGAAGTAGAGGTTTGCACGAGTATTAAACACCTGCATAATCTTGTAAAATAGTTGTTTTTTAAGGCATCTCTAACTTTGACAATTTGAATTCTGTAATCTGTTTACACTTGGAGGTGTACATGTTCTGGTACATCAAGTGGTTTGACTTCTCATCATAGGCAAAGGATCAGAATTCTCTCCGGAAAACTGGAAAGGAAAGAACAGTAAAAAATGTAGGTCTGTTTCTTCTCATTTATTTTTTTTTCCAAACTGCTTTACACTGAGAAGCAAAATGCTGTGGAATTGTGATTCCCAAAGTCCCTTTGTGGCCCCTGCCACAAGCAGTGAATGCTGCTGTCACTGAAGGGGTTTGTTCGCTCCTGGTCACATTCCTGTGTCTGGGAACACTGGATTTCCCTCCTGGCACCTGAAGTAGGAGGTGGTGCGCGGGACACGCCTGTCCTGACTCAGAGGTCACCGCTTGGCAGGTTCCAGGGCAGATCCACTGGGAAATACAAATTAAAATCAATGGCCAACGTTTTAGTTGTCAGGTGCTGCAGGGTGTTATTTACATGGGCTCTTGAAAAGTTTTCTGTTGTATTTGGTTTGTTTTATTTTTTGTACAATTTTGTATGCTTTGGTTAAAAGAAAAATAAATCCAGACTAGCCACCTGCTTAATTTTTATTTTTGTTTTTTTTTTCTTTCTGCAGCTCTACTGAGAAGTCATTTCCTTGGAGATCATCAGGTATTATCTCTTATGTGTACATTTTGATCTCTTATGTGTACATTTTGCTTTATGCACAATACACTTTCTTTCCTTGGCATTCACTGCTGCTTTTGAAGTGAACTGAACATTAGCAGCAATGCCGTGGATCTGTCTGTTACAAGTATCTCTTCTAAAAGATAACATTAATATCCTCTTTCTCACACATGAAGAGACTTTTCTGTTCCTCTGTTACTGTAAAAGTTTTTTTTAGCTTAGAGGTAGTTGCAGTTACTTTTCTTGTACCTTTTTGTGCCTTTGCATTTTTGTGTGAGATGTGACTCTAGCAGAAGTCTTGGGCATTGAGTCCCCTTCCCCTTGGCAGGTAAGGATCATGCAAAAATACTGCTTGTTGCAAGCTCAAAACTGATTGTCTTTTTACAGATATTCTTACTTAACTGAGAAAATCTTCAGCAAGCGAAGGTTTTTTGGAGAGTGCTTTTTCTATTTTTGTTTCTCAGGATGCTTGAACTTTCTTTCCAAAACAAGAAACATTTGTCTTCTGGCACCTCTACATCCACTCTTGAGAATATTGGTGTCATGGATAGGACTGCATCTAAAAGAGGCATTCAGGTGTCTGCTGAAGTAATCCCATCTGTCCTTCACAGGTCAGAGCATTTAGCTAGTTAGGTTTTTTTCATCAGTTAAAATATTTAATACTGAAAAGTCCATCTTCTGAGCAGTGGTTGTGTCTTTAGAGTGGTGATGTGTATGTTCAGAAGCCCTCATTTTGAAGCCACACAGCAGGACCAAAAGTGGGACCTTGATGCCCTGCAAATTGCTTTTTGCACAGGGTCGAGTTGCTCTGCTTCAATCCTGTGCTCCTGGCAGGATGTTGTGTTAAGCAAGAATGGTCTGATGTAACCAAAATGCCATCAGCACTTTAGGTGGCTTGTGAAAAGTTTCATTAGCCAAGTTCTGCATGGTGCTAATATATTTATATAGGGCTACAGGCAGTTTTAAGAGCTACCCAATTTCTGCTGTACAAAGAATAACATGTCGTAGTTATCTGCTTTTTCACTCAAGCATATACATCCTTATGATAATTATGACTAAATTATGACTAAATAAGTCTCTCAAACTATCTACTTCCCCTTCTTCTTTCTGTTTGTATGGTTTCTTTTTAAACTTTATTTTATATAGAGATCAAGCTCTTGAGCTTGAGTATAATTGTACCTACCTGGATTCCAGTTGCCTCCGTGGTCTCTCCTCAGCTGAGATTAGGAACCCATGAGCTTATTTCCTTTTGTTTAAATCTAATATTCTCAACAGCCTACTTGTCTTGGCATTTCAATTTTGCTAGTCATAGTGGTGCTTTTCAGGTATTCTTTTAGCAACATTTTTAAACAGAAGACGAATTTATTTTTTTCAAGTAATTGAGAACCTACTTGTACTTTTCTGTCAATGGGAATTTTTTTTATTTTTTTTTTTTTAAATCACATTATTTCCCCTGGTTAGATAATGTTCATAACTGGTAAAGATATCTTCCAGCAGACCTCAGTCATTGTTTGCTGATTCATCTCATCCAATTGCATTTCATTTTTTAATGTCCTTTGGTTTTCCTATAACATTTTCTTTGTCTATTGTTTGTTTTTCCTCCTTGACTTTCTGTTAGTTCCTCTCTTTTTTCATCTATTCAGCTCATATTTTTATTTTATCCTTTAATTCTCTCCTCCCATTTGTTTCTTTCCTTTAGAAATCTCCTCTGCACATCCCTGCTTAGAAGTCACTTAAGGGGAAAAAATCATGTTTCAGTGTAAATGCTGTGTGCACTAATGCACATCTGGATGTGTACTTGTCACATCTCTGTATCCAAAGGAAGACTTTTCTGGAGTAAAGGCTCAGCAATGGGCAAGTTTGAAAACAATACATTCTTTGCATAGAATTTTCTGACATACATTTCATTTTATGTTTACAGTTATGATGTGATTATAGCATGATTGTAGATTGTACTTACTTAGAGCTTCACTTGAGCTTTGTTTTGAACAACTGTCACTAGACAGTGCTTTACCAACTGCAATCTGAAAAATACTGAAGATGGATGGAAACACTCCCTTACATCACCTTTGTTTCCTGAGTGCAGATAGTAGGTGATACCAAAAAACATCAGCAGGTGATGTGATATGACTCCAGCTGTAACTGCTTTTTGCATCTGTAGAATTATACAGCATTTTTTAACAGAAATAAGAAATTATGCTTTGCAGATGCTTATAAATAGAATATTAGCTCAGCAGGCATTTATAAAAAGGCTATTATTTTATTCAGGGCACTCTCCTCATGATTTATAGTAGCAGAAGGAAAGACAACAATGAATTTTGTTGTGCATTCTTGCCTTTGTTAGAGAGCCTAAACAATCTTATTTTTTAGCACTGTGAAAGCCTTTGCTTGGTGGCAGATGAGTGCAGGAAGGCAGACTTTGGTTCTGACCTCTGTCTGAGGAACAGCTGCATGGCACTGCACAATGCAACTTTATTCTTCTTGTGTGTTTCTCCCAAAACTGATTATCTGTCAGTTTGACATTGATTTAGTATCATGTAAGATTGAATAACTGAAATGACAGGCTGTTGTATTATTTAAGCAAAAAAGAGTGAAGATTAAATTATTGAAGTTGAACATAATCTACATGTCCCGGTCCCCACAAGTTTTTTACTCCCAAGAACATGTACTACCCACCAATGTCTGTTACCATCTGTTACTGAGGGAGTGTAACAGGAGCTGGGGAAGTGAGATGTTTCAGTCTTGGTTCTCTGTCATTTCTAGGCATACTGGTGATTGGATCAATGGAAGTGAAGTAACACTTCTTATTAAATCCTAATTAAATGTGGTCATTATACTCCTATTATAAGAAATTAATTAGCATCAAATTTTACTAGATGTTTTTGACTTAAAAACGTACTACTGATAAATAGCTGTGCTTACTGCCAGTAATTTCTACGTTGTATTGATTTTTTAGGTTTCTTCTTTTAAATCTGGTATTTGTATCATGTTCAAACATGCTTTCTATTTGTATGATGACACTTTATTTTGCTGTCCTTAATGTTCAGCTAGTATTCTTAGAAGTGAAGTTAGCTTAAGTGTTATTAAAAAGTCAACATATGGATAGTAATATATGAAGTAAAAGATGTATAAAATTTGCAGCAACTTGTGTTGATGGTCCACAAGCAGGGATGAAATTCACCTCAGTCTTTTACTGAAGAAGCTCTTGAGATACAGGACTTTAAGACAAGTGGTAATTGTCCTCCGTGCACTACAACACAGTTGCACAATGTCTCTACTCTGCCAGGTAGACTTGCTAGGTAATCAATTACATTTTCCATTAAAATCGGTTGGAATGTACATTTGACAAATTAGAATTGTAGAACTATATCAAAGCCACAGGAAACAAGATTCTTGGACATTAGTATTAATGTTCTTTTCATTTAGTTTGGTAGATGATACCTGTCTGCTAGTGGACTGCTGATGTTGAAAGTAAGTTCTTTGTTAGCATGTGTGAGAAAAATGTGATGATTAAGTTTGCAGGAAAAGTTAAATGTGAAACATTGGATTTATCTAATTGGTTTATTCTTTCAGATCCTCCGCCCACCGGTGTAAACAAACCCCAAGTGTCAGAGAGTGTTCATACCAATGCCTATAACATTAGGACAGAACCAGAACAAGGGAACCTCTACTCACCAGAACAGACATCTCTCCATGAAAGTGAGGGTCTGTTGTATGCATTTTAAATATTAGAATATATTTTTGTATTGGCATGTAAAAATGTAATGCAATTATGAATGCAACAAATAACAAAGTTATATAATTTTTTGTGAAGTTGTTTGATGGTTTTATTCTTACACTGGCTTCATATCTACAGGGTCCGTTGGCAACTCAAGAAGTTCAACACAAATGAATTCTTATTCCGACAGTGGTTACCAGGAAGTAAGCAGTTTCCATAACAGCCAAAACTTGAGCAAGTCAGAAAGCAGACAGCAGCATTCCCTGGTTGGAAACTCCAATAACCATTTGGTGAGGAGCTCACGAGCTGAGGGGCAGACATCAGTCCAGGTATGCTCAAAATAGGACACTTCATCTCTATCTGTACATGATCTGTGGCACAGTCACAGAGTCATCAGGGCTGGAAGGGACTTCTGAAGATCCTCTAGTCCAACCCCTGACAGAGCAGGGTCACCGACAGGAATGTATCCAGATGGCTTTGGGATGTTACCAGAGAAGGAGACTCCACAGCCTCTCTGGGCAGCCTGTCCCAGTGCTCTTGTTACCCTCACAGTGAAGAAGTTTTTCTGTACGTTTAGCTTGGCCCTCCTGTGCTCCAGCTTGTGCCCATTGCCCCTTGTCCTCTCATTGCACACTGCTGAAAAGAGAGTGGACCCATCCTCCTGACACCCCCTGGAGATATAAGCATTTATGACCTCCCTTGCCAGGTTTAATTCTAAGGAGGCCTTAGCTTGCCTTGTTGCATCCCTACATCTTCTGACAACATTCTTGTATTCCTCCCAACTGGTCAGCCCCTTCTTCCATGATTTATAAACTTCTTTCTTACGCTTGACTTTGTTCAGTATCTCCCTGATTAACCATGCAGGTCTCCTGGCTCTCTTACTTGATTTCTTACTCTTTGGGATGCTCCAATCTTGAGCTTGGGGGAAACAGCGCTTAAATATTAACCAACTCTCCTGAGCCACTCTACCCTCTGGTACCCTGTCTCATTGGATTTCACCAAGCAGTTCCTTGAAGTCAAAGGACTCCCCTCCTCCAGGGGAGGTTTAGGCTGGGTATTAGAAAGAGTTTCTTTACTGAGTGGTTGGACACTGGAACAGGCTGCCCAGGGAGGTGGTGGAGTTACCATCCCTGGAAGTGTTTAAAAGAAATGTAGATGTGGTGCTTAGTGACATGATTTAAGCACTGAATGGGTTAAGTTAGGTTATGGTTGGGGGATTTAGGTTATGGTTGGACTTGTTGATCTTCGAGGTCTTTTCCAACCATGATGTTTTGATGATTCTATGATTTTTCATTAACCACAATGATAGCAAGACAGGAATGGGCAAAACTTGATTAGCTGACACAAGGACTCATTGCATCACTGTTCCTGAATTTCCAAAGTGGTCGAGTAGTGAGGGGAGAAGCACAGGTGCATATTCACATTGCAAGTTGAAAAGAATGGGGGTCGGATTATTTTTAATGTTAAATTGCCATTTTAATGTATTAAGAAATACTGGTTAGAAAAAAAGTCACTTTACAGGAAAGCTTGAGCTGTGTGCATACCCGGTCGAATTCCCTGTCTCGCAGGAGCCAAGCAGCCCCTCCCTGGCCGCAGTGACCAAACTAACCAACACTCTTGCCTTTGACAGCCTCCGGTGCCCGCGGCGACCCACCGCGCCATGCGACGCGTCAGCTCGGTGCCATCCCGGGCTCAGTCTCCCTCCTACGCGGCGGGCGCGTCCCCGTCCCGCGGGTCGCTGCGCACCGCGCAGGGCTCCC